AAATTAAAATTAAAATTAAAATTAATTTTAATTTTAATTTTAATTTTAATTTTAATTTTAATTTTAATTTTAATTTTAATTTTAATTTTAATTTTAATTCTAATTTTAATTTTAACTTTAATTTTAATTTTAAATTTAAAACATGAAATTTTGATGATATCGGCAAATAAAAAAATACGTGTGCGCTTATTTTCCGAGTAGAATAATGTACAAAAATTTCGAGTAATTCGGAGAGATAGGTGCAGTTGGCTTGCATGATTTGCAATGGAATTGAGATGGAATTGGTCACATATATATATCATGAAAACCAGCGCACAGTGGTTCAAAATTGGTATTTTGTATTTACAATTCACTGGAGCCTTGATTTTTCTCTCAATTTGATTAATTTTTTTTTTGTTTTAATTAAAGCTAATAAAATTTGCAAGAGACCATGTGGGCCCGATTTTTGAACTTTTATTTGTTTGTATTTAATTTTTTAGTACAAATTGCAGAAAAAGTAGAAAAGTAGCAAATTTGAAGAAAATCGATTCTCTGTTCTAGTTAATAAATGTTACATAGTAAACACTAATTGAAAATAATTGTGGGGTTCTCCCAAAACGAAAAACAATAAAAAAATTCAAATGTTATAAAAAAATAGTCGCCAAAATTATTATTTTTTTTGGTTTCTATAAAAAATTTTTGGTATTCAGTTTTATAAATCATTAAATTTAATTATAATAAAGTGGCAAAGAGTATCCGTTGATTTTTAATATTAAATACAGCAAACGCTTTTATTTTCCATTTAACATTTAACATTTCAGAATGTTAGCGAAAAAAATTATTAAAAATCGACGCCATCGCTTAGCCACTTGCGAATTGCACTTTATTATACTAAAATTTGTTGATCTAAAAACCCAACATTTTTCTAGAAACTCCAAATTTGTTTTTTTTTTTGGAGAACATTTTTTTACATTTAAAATTTTTTTTTGATTTTTTTTTGTTTGTTTTGAAAGAACCCTACAATAGCTTTCGACTAGTTTTGCTACTTTTTTGCATTTTGCGCTAAAAAAAATGTAATACAAATAAACAAAAATTCAAAAATCGGGCACCACTGGTCTCTTGCGAATTCTATTAGCTTTCATTAAGAAAAAAGTAATCAAATTGAGTGAAAAAATTAAGACTCCAGTGAATTATGAAGACAAAATGCCAATTTTAAACCACAGTGCAGCGGAGCGTGAGAAATTGCAAAAAACTTTTAGCGCATTTGAAGAAAATTTTGAGAGCACTTCGACGGCTGAGTCGATGATCGCCCTATCTCGGCTGTCGGTTCGAAAACGGCCTATTTCATCAAATGGTTGAAGAATATCCTTTTTCAGAATTTAGTTCAAAAACGCCCTATTTAAAATTTTTTATTTATATTTATTTAAAATTTAGTTTTTTTTTGCTACATTGCATCGTCATTAATCAATCAGTTATTCAAATATTTAAAACGTAAAAAATTGAATAAGTCATATTTTATTTCTTTTACAATTTTACAAAAAAAAAAAATTATAAAAAGTTTAAAGTCTAGTCCCTAATCGCGAGTTGATGATATCCCAGCAGGTAATTCATACATATGCAAAATATGTATGTATATGCGTTAATGTGGTTATTATCAATTTTCTAATTAGCTTTAGGCAAGAAAACGCTCCTAGAATATATTGTGGTAAATGCATTTACTATATACATACATACGTACATATGTATGAATGCGATTTATGCATATTCGCGAATATTCATACACACATATGTACATATGTATAATAGGTATATATGCATACAAATATTTATGCATCAGTCTGTCAGTGCACGCGAAGGTGGGGCATAAGCGCTCAAACACCAAAACTTCAACATGCCACCACAAACAACAACAACAACAACAACAACTTCCACGACGACGCCAAAAAACTACGCAACTAAACGCACCCGTATCGGCGCAGCAGCTACGCATGTTCGGTTGCCGAAAAATCGTGCACTCGTTTTATTTTATTATTTTTTACAAAGCTTTTTACTACTTAATAGAGAACACAAGTCAAACTATAGCAAGCGACAACGCCAATAAACAAACTAAAAGCTGGTAAAGTGCACTGCGCCGACGCAACCAACCAACCAACCAATAGTCGTTAGAGGCAACAATTGTTGTAGTTGTTGTAGTGCAGCAAAGAAACGTTTTGGCGCATGCTTGCTTCGCCTTTTTGCGAATTCATAATTTTTTAATTCATGCCATTGTGTGCATACATACATACGTTTACAACATGCATGCAATTACAATCTCGCACTGCTTGTCACACACAGCCTTTTTGGATAAATCGCCTATTTTTGTTGCCACTGTCGTAGCCATCAGCGTCGTCGTCGTGCCGCTGCCGCTGCCGCTGCCGCTGCTGTGACTTCTAACGCTGCCACTGTCACTATCGTTGCTGCAGCTGATGCTGTCTGTGATCGTTTGGGGACCACATTGACCGTATATAAACGACAATAGGGCCTTGTTGGCTGGTAGTGTTTCGCGACGCTCCAGTTCGTTGGAGCACCACACTTCAAATCGTTAACGCCCATTGCAAAAGGATACGAACGCATGCGCGCCCGCCCGCCCTCTATCGAACAGCCAGCAAACAGCAACTAAACAACAACCTTGGATATGTGTGTGTGTAAAGGATAAAAATTACATAACAAAAAAGTGCCAGTAAATGTCCAATGTGTGATAAGGACCTTAACATGTAGTTAAATCGAAGACTTCGAAAGAATATTTTTTGTTAATTAACAGTGTTTTTTTAATTAAGTTTATTATATCAAAAAAACAACAATAACAAAAACGAAAACGAAACAAGAGTATGAAGGTGAGTGAAACGACAAGCATACTTGTAGTAATCATTTGGTGTGTAGGTATGTGTGTGTGTGTGTGATGCTAAGAACAATGTAGAGCAGTGAAAATATTCTATTGTTTATACTGGACATAACCTTAAATGGAGGTGGCTGAATACATACATATGAAATGACGTGATGAAAAAATTATACTCTTTTATAATTGAAAGAAGAAAATATGAGCACAATTTAGAAAATTGTATGAAATCATTTTGTATAGTGGGTTTTCGAAAAGTGTAACTAAAATTGTGTTATGCTATTTCTTGGGTTAAATTTAAAAAATAAAAAAATAAACCAAGTATACAGTACACGAAAGGACCTTTTAACTTACAAAAATAATAAAAAAATAAAAATAAATAAAATTAAATAAAAATAAAAATTAAAATTAAAATTAAAATAAAAATAAGGAAGATAAAAGGACATTTGAAAGTGAAAATAAAACAAACAAGTAAAGAAATATAAGTGTTGGCGAAACCGAACTTTATATACCCGACACAGTTATCAAATATTATCGTTTAAATTTTCTCTAAACTACATACTTTTGCATAATAAGCAGGGGTGTTTTTCCCGCTTTCAAACATTTTCTCTATTATGCTGAGTTAGACGCCACGCCCAATTCCTAAAACTATGTAGCGGTCTTATTTATTGTTAAGAGATTTTTGTAACTATGTAACTTGGAGTAAATTAAGTTCCTCAGTTATTGAGATATCGGACTTTTCGTATTTCTGAAATTTACCGTTATTCGGAAGCGTTGTAATTTTAGTCTGATTTGAATAATTTTAAACGAATAGATTTTCCGTACCAAGTTTATTAAGTGCATCGACTTTGATAGAATTTCGGGTTTATGTAAATTATTGTTATATGGTAGATGGGCGTGGTTACCTATTACCCAATTTTAAAGATTTTCAACAAATTTCTTAGCTATACCCTAGGCAACGCTCGCATCGAATTTGGTAAGGATTGGTGAAGCGGCTACTGAGGTACAGCATTTCATCATAAGTCAGGCCCATTTTCAAAAAGTAAAAATAAAATTCTTCTTCACGTACTAATTTCCAACAATATGGATCCAATATTTACTGAAATGGCGCAGTTTTTGCATTTTTCGAAAATACCGTTATATGAGAAGGGGGCGTAGTTGGTTACAGTCGGTTGGTATTGCAAATGCGCGATACCAACCTACAGCGACACAAAACTCTTTTACTTTTTATTTTATTTTTTTGTCTAACCTTCGGTTGAAAATTAATATATACGCCCAATAGGAAAAGCTCCCGTCCAAAGTTTCTTGCAAATATTCTGTGTTTTTCATAAAAAAGATTCATTCGATCCTATTCATCTCGACATTAATTATTGAAGATTCAGACCCGCTCTTCCCGACGCTTTTCAGATTTGCACCGCGGGTACCGCAAGTCCCGATATCTATCACTAAATAAAATTCCAATCAATTTTAAATAATATACTTGAGTATCTTTTTATCGAATATTCTACATACTTTCATCATACTGAACGATTTGGCGTTCGTTTTTATCTCAATATGACATTAATTGGGAGTTGCGGATTTTATCGGGAATATCGGGAAAGGAAAAGACATTACCGATACCGCCGCCCATACCAGCCATTTTAAAATTAGAACCGTGGGTCCCGCGATTCTCAATATCACGCGCCCATTTCTAATCTATTTTTTCTTCTTATTTGGCGCTGTAACCGCCTAAGCGATTTTGGCCGTTTTTGCCAGCATCGCGCGACAAGCGTTGAATACTGAATATCCCTTCCGTCCCCCACCAACTCACCAACTCATGAATTCACCAAGCATGATTTTTATATCAGCGCCCGTAGAAGAGAACTTTGAACGTTCCGACACCGAATTAGCGCTCCCTGACAACTTATTTCTTACTTTGTCCCGTCTATTGAATAGCGGTGATATTAGTATTTTTCAGGACATCATCCAGCCGAGCAGAGGTACCTTACCAATTAAGAATCCCGACATTCCATGTGTATGCGCTTAAATGAAATTTTCTTGATTTTTTACTATTTACATATGTATGTGTAATTATTACTTTTAAGATCGTAAAAAACTACAAAAAAAAGAGTTACCAATGCTTTAGATATTTTTGCCGAATTGTTGAATGGTTGGAATCGATCAGTCTTGATTTGGACTAATTTTGGTCAGAACTTTTTTTATCATATAACAAAGTTCGGCCGTAGGAAAAAATTTAAAAATTTTTTTCGAAAGTTATGCAAAACTCCAATTTTGACAATTTCGTTTATTTTTTGAATATCTTAAAAACTATCATAATTACAAAAATGGTTCTGGTCTCGTTTTAAAGGTCTTTGGCCTATGGTTTTGGGCCTATGAAGAACAAAATAAAGAAAATAAAATAAAAACATTTTCAGATTTTTGAAATTAAAAAAATCGTTAAACCAAAAAGTTGTAAAAATAACTGATCTGAAAAGTTCCTGAAATTTTCAATATAAATTTTTGAACTACGAAAAAAAAATGGTTTTGCAAACTTCATAAAGTTATTTTAAATAATTTTTACTTAATTTAAATTTATTTTTAATTTAGAGCTTGCGAAATTTTTTTTTTTTTTCAAAGTTCAAGAATTCGTACCATTAAAACCCTTTGGAAACCTCTGGATCTCTCAAGCTTAGTTAGAGGTATTGTATAAAACACATTTTGCCCAAAACTTAAATAAGTTTAAGCTTTTGAAATTTCTAAATTCTGTAATTTTTTGTTTTTTGAATATATTTTTAGATATATTTTTTATGTAGCTCCAAATATCACGCCTAAAACGAGACCAGAACCATTTTTGTGACTAGAATAGAATTTGAGAAATTAAAAAAAAAAAACTTGGAAAATCCCCAAAATCAAATATGAATATACAGATGTATATAACTGATGCCCTAAGTTGCACGCAATTTTTCGTTTTTGGAATATTTTTCGCAATTTTCTTTCGTGTACAAACCAGGGACCGAACATAACAGTTATTGAGAATTCAATATGAAGGAAATGTTCTGCAACTAAGTGATACATACCTATCGATTTCTTTTTTCACCGTGACTCAAATTTGAAAATAAATTTTTATTTGCAACTTTTATGCAAAATTAAAAAAAAATAATTATTTTTGATTTTTATATTTTAAATCCGAAATGATAATTATTTTTGATTTCTATGTAATATGTCTTACATAACAGTTATTGAGGACTTTTATTTATAAAAGTCATCAAAAAGAATCAGTCAGTGACTTTTACTTTTAAAAGTCATCAATATAAGTGAGTCACCGACTTTTATTTTTTAAGTCATTCGTATGAATGTCATTAACTTTTTTCGCAGTTAAGAAGGTGTTGGAAAACAAAAGTTTACTACGACTTATACAAATGACTTTTATAAGTATGATTTAAAAAACAAAGATCAGTGACTGATTTTATTTATGACTTTTATAAATAAAAGTCTTCGATAACTGTTATCTAATAATATAATTTAAAACTCGAAAATAACTGTTATTTGCAGATTATTTAGATAAAAATCAAAAATAATTGTTATTTTTGATTTATAAAATAAAAGTCAGAAATAAAGGTTATTTAAGGAGTAATTAAATAAAAGACAAAAAATAACTGTTAAAGAGCGATTTTTTAATAAATGTTGTAAGTGTTACGGTCCCTGGTACAAACACAAACTTCTTCGAAAAGTAATAGGGGTATTACAAGTTAGAGCATTTTTAATACAGGATAACACCAGTTTGAAATAAAAAAACTGCATGTCAGCGCAGTGTCTTATAAAATAAATAAATTTCATAAGTACAAGTATACTCGCAGCATCCATATAAAAAACTTAACCAAAATCAATATTTCCACTTTCAGATTCCATTAGCATTATTGTGCTTTTGTAGCACAGTGTGGGCTAGTTCAGAACCAATTGTCATCCCAGATTGCGTGCTCGCTGCGTCAGGTGGCTATGCCTACCCTCCGCCAAAGGTGCAGCTGTCAGTGGCGCCCGCCAGAGCTAAATATAAAATACCGCTGCAATTGTCAGGCCACTCGGGCAGTGGATATCTCAATGTTGATACAGAGAAATCATCAGAATCATATTATGAAAGCGGAGTCGGATTATCGCAGGCCGCACATAGTGAAAAACTGCTGCAATTGTCAACAAATCTAGCAACAAAAGGTGCTGGCATCACATACGCCGATCAGCCACTCAAAACACCGGAATTGAAAAATTTGCTTACGCCCGCCATTTCTAGGCAATATCTGCCGGCAGTATCAGCCCCCTTGACATCGCCTGGCTTAGCCAAGACGTACACCAGCCTACCCAGCCTACCAAGCCTGCCATCGCCTGCTATTTCGAAAAGCGCCGAATATGAATCATCTGCTTACGCATACTATCAATCCAGTCCAACGATCTCGAAAACTTCCCCATATGTCGCACCATATGGTCCCGCCGCCATATCCTATGGCGCGCCCTACAATCCTAAGTTGATAAATTCGCTAGCAGCCACATCGCTGACTAAATTAGATGGAAATTTATTGACGGCCAAAACAGCTGAACCACTCGGCTCTTACTCGTATGCGCCGCAACTAAGCAGCACCTATCTTTCCAGTAGCGGCAGTGGCGCGGTGTCACATCAGCATGTTTCAAGGCCGTTACAACAAATTAGCTATGCCGCACCGGCTATACAAAAGATTCCAACCCTCGTCGCCCCTTCGGTCGCCAAAGTGGAGTCATATGCCGCGCCAGCTCCCGCCTACATAGCACCAGCTGTTAAAAATATTCTTGCTGGCGCCGATTACTCAAAGTATGCCACAGGTGGTGCGTATTCTCAGCAGCAAATTTCAAAGCCACTACCCGCAGCAACATACCTTCCAGCAGTTGCCGGGCCAGCACTTACGCCAGCGATAGCGCAATACCCCTCCGCCGCTGTGGCAGTGCATTCGAGCAGTAGTAGCGAAAAGTATGGTGCCAGTGGCGCAGTTTCTCATCAGTATGTTTCAAAGCCAATACAAGCAATCAGTTATGCCAGTCCAAGTGCGGTTAAAGTCGCTCCCATAGCAACACCACTCGTAGCACCAGCGCTTACACACTACTCGACCGGACCATCCGCTCTATCGTCGCTACACGCCGTCGGCGGTGGTCAGTCGCTGAAGTACGCAAGTGGTGGCGCAGTGTCGCATCAGTACGTTTCAAAACCACTACAACCGATCAGCTATGCAGCTGCACCGGTAGCGAAACTGCCAGCTATTGCTCTACCCGCTGTATCTAAGGTAGCCACTTACGCTGCGCCTGCTGTGGCACAGTATTCTTCGGGCCATGGATTTTCCAGTAGCGCAGTTTCACATCAACAAATTTCGAAACCCATACAACCGCTTGTGCAGACTTACTCGGCACCTGCGATAACTAAGGTCGCCGCTGTTGCACCACTAGTAGCGCCAGCTATTACACAATACTCTTCAGGCGTCGGTCTATCTTCCACCCATTCTGGATCGGAATCTATAAAGTATTCAAGCGCTGGTGCAGTTTCCCATCAGTACGTTTCGAAGCCTTTGCAACCGGTAAGCTATGCCGCAGCGCCGGTGGCTAAAATACCTGCTGCCGTCATACCGGCCGTAAGTAAAGTGGAAGCTTATGCTGCACCCGCAATTACTCAGTATTCTTCTGGACTCGGACTTTCGCAGCTTGGTGGGTACGCTACTTCAGAGCACGGCTACGCCGGTGGCGCCATTTCGCATCAACACGTTTCCAAACCCATACAGACCATAACTTATTCTGCACCTACGGTATCCAAAGTAGCTGCTATAACACCTGTTTTAAAACCAGCTTTGACAGCTATTCATACCGGCGCGGAGTCTGTCAAATACTCAGGTGGTGGCGCAGTTTCGCATCAGTATGTTTCGAAACCTTTGCAAACGGTTAGTTACGCTGCAGCGCCGGTGGCTAAGATAGCGCCCTTGGCCATACCCGCTGCGCCTACACTCACGCAATACTCGTCTGGTCACGGCTTGTCTAAAATTGTCAGCAATTACGGAGCCTATGGCGCCTCGGGCGCTGTGTCGCATCAGCAGATTTCCAAGCCTATACAAACGTTGACTTATTCAGCGCCTGCTATAACTAAGGTCGCTGCCGTGGCACCAATTGCAGCGCCTGTACTCACGCAGTACACATCAGGCTCCGGTCTGTCATCTATTCATTCGGGATCTCAATCAGTGAAATATGCAAGCGGTGGCGCTGTTTCACATCAATACGTGTCCAAGCCTGTACAGCAGACGGTGAGCTACGCGGCTGCGCCTATAGCAAAGTTACCAACGCTTGCAGTTCCCGCTGTCACTAAGGTAGCCACTTATGCAGCGCCCGCAAT